CTGGGACTAAAGGCGTGTGCTACCACCGCTCGGCTGACACTTTAAATTTTTTAATTATTTATTCGTATATGGGGAAGGGGCAGGTGTGTGGAAATCAGAGGACAGGTTGCTGGAGCCAGTTCTCTCGTTCCTATGTGTGGGTTCCAGGATTTGAACACAGGTTGTCAGGCTTGGCAGACAGTCCCTTTTCCCACTGAATCACTTCGTGCAATGCCTTTATTAAACAAGTTTTTGAGGCTAGAGAGATGACTCAACAATTAGGAGCATGTACTGCTCTCACAGAAGACCAGAATTCAGTTTCCAGCACCCATGTTGAGTGACTTGCCATCACCTCTATCTCTAGCTCCAGGGGTTCTGAAGTTGTTGTAGAATATAATATTTAAGATGTGTTACATGTGTTTATGCTGAAGAATGATAATGATGCAAAGATGTGTTGCATTCTTTTAGTTAAATCTGTTTAACTCTGTGAAGCTGTGACACTTTGCCTGTCTAAAACACCTGATTGGTCTACTAAAGAGCTGTATGGCTGATAACTGGGCAGAGAAAGGATAGGTGGGAGCTGGCAGGCAGAGCGAATAAATGGGAGGAGAAATCTTGGATCGAGGAGGAGGAGGAGCAAGCAAGAGAGCAAGGATCGAGAAAAGAAGGGGCCAGCCCCACAGCCACATAGACAGAGATGGAATAAGAAGGAAAGAAAGAGATATAGAAATAGAGAAGGTTAAAAATCCAGAAGCAAAAGGTAGATGGGATAATTTAAGAAAAACTGGCTAGAAATAAACTAAGCTAAGGCCAGGCATTCATAAGAAAGAATAAGTCTTCATGCATATTATTTATTTGGAAGCTAGGTGGCAGGCCCCCCAAAAGGCACAAGACAAAAAAGTATTAAAACAAAACAAAACAAAACAAAAACCAACTTCATGAAGTCTTCTGAACTCTGGGAGCACAGGCATGCTCACATGTGTGCTTAATAATATACTAAATCTGAGGCTGCAAATGTCCTTAATCCCAACACTCACGAGGAAGAGGCAAGTGGATCTTTGTGAGTTCAAGATCAACCTGGTCTACAGAGTGAGTTCCAGAATACCCAGGACTACACAGAGAAACCAAAACAAAAAAATCAAAACAAAAACAATAATAAATTTGAATAGGCTTCTGTCGCTTTCTCTTAACTGCCTATCTTGTGTTATAAGGGTTCAACCATGAACCTAGCACTGAGTAGAGAAAGCCTCCTGTGCTCATATGACCAATAGCTGACTGATGGATTACCACATGTGTGGGAACAAGAGCGCATGCTTACACACATTCTCTTCCTTGCCTCACAGACAGGTTTGAAGGTTGACACAGCATAGGATTCCTAGACTGTTTCCTTCCCCAGCTGCTCTACTGCTTCCTGGACTAAATGCTCACCACTCCCATGTGTTGTCACAGCACAGAGCTCATCAAATACAGAGGATTCTTTTCCCATTGCTTTATAAAACTGATATTCTTGCTGCCTGTATGTGTGTCAAGCATCTGAAAAGAGGCTCCCAAGTCACCCCCAAACCACTTCTTGAAGGAAGATAATAATAGTGACCTTGGCCCAAGAATTGAAGGACACCATCATTTTGTCTATAATATTTTTTATTTTAATAAGAATGTTCATACTTAAGGTTCCCTTTAATTCATGATACAAAATAACACCTTTTTTGGATAGGCACTATTTTTAGATGGCATTTTATTTACATGAGTGTGTGTGTGTGTGTGTGTGTGTGTGTGTGTGTGTGTGTGTGTAGACAACTTGTCACACTTGGTTCTCTCTTTCACCATGTGGGTCCTGGGGTGTCAGCATGGCTGCAAGCCCCTTTACCCACTGAGCCGTCTCACGAGCTCAACAGGTATTATTTTTATAAGAAAGCTCTAATTTCTTTGTTGTCTCATGGCACTGGGGAATGAACTCAGGGCACAATGCACAAAAAACAAATGCATTACCACTAAGCTATACCCTCAGTCTTTCATAGGCACTTATTTTATTGCATAAAGAAAAAACTTGTAATGGCAATGGTGGTGCATGCCTTTAGTCCCAACACTTGGGAGACAGAGGCAGGCAGATCTACAGGAGTTCAAGGTCAGCCTTGTCTACAGAGAGAGTTCCAGGCCATCTAGAAAAACACTCTAAAAAAAAAAAAAAAAAAAAAAAAAAAAAAAAAAAAAAAAGAAAAAAGAAAAAACTTTAGGGAATTAGAATATATCCGCATGAACTAGACAGAACTGATACTCTGATAACATATTTGAAGTTTTCTCCAGAACCATCAGATAATGGGTAATATTTTAGGAGTGACCTCCTAACTCTTACCACCCAAGTGTTTGTGTAAGAAAGTCTGGAGCTGCTGCCATGCATCCACCTGGGCCACAGCATGAGGCTTAGGCTCCCCTCCAAAGGTGATATTAGCACCCACCAGGAGGTGCATGCCAGCCTTGTACAGTGGGAAGTAAGGGGGCTCAATATAGTGCCCTGCTTCTGGGTAGCAGATGATCTGGGGCTTCCCCTTCCCATGGGCCTCTAAGCGTTTGGAGATCTCATTGGCATAGAACTCGCTCTTCCAGTTGTGGTCATCCTGACCTACAAGCAACAGGAAGGCCGTGTCAGACCTTTCCACGGGGATGAAGCTCTTCTCTTCCACCAAAGGGCTTTGCAGACCTTCCACAACATCCAAGAGGCCATCTTTGGTCATTTTAACTCGATTTCTCAGAAGAGAAACAGGGGGTATAGTCTCATCCTTGTAGTATATGGTGTTCCCAACAGCAGCCACAGAGCCATTGATCACAACAGCAGCTTTGATGCCCTTCAGGAAGGAGGCCATAGCAAGGCCAAGTTCACCCCCTTTGGAAATCCCAAGCAGTCCAATTCCTGGACCCTTCACCTGGGAAAGAAACAAATTAAAATGGAGCTTTAGTCCTGGAAACTGTGAGGGCCAGAAAAGTAGGCCTAGATTTGGGTTCCATCTAGTTACATTACAACTGCATTGCAACCTGGGGACATTTATCTGCTCCTTCCCCACAGCTCTCTTATCACAATTTCTCTGTCATTATTCTTGGTGATTGCAAGGATTTTTAGAACTCCTATGATCTTTTCCTCTAACCCAACCATACCAACCCTTCCCACTTATATAACCCAAACCTCTTGTCACTAGCATGAATTGTTTAGGTTCAAAGAAATGTCACTTTTAAACATTGCATCCTCTGGCCACTATCTCTCCAGCTTAGTCCTTCTAGAAACACGCCTTTCTACCTTGCTGAGGCCTTAACAGCCTTCTCTCCACTGTAGATCACCCATGTTCACCCAATCAGCCCCTCCCTGTCAGAGTCTGTGCTTCATCAGCAAGCTCTTTCTACTCCTTTATTACCATCATTCCCTTGGCCATACTGACCCAGAAAAGGACTCATCCTGGTGAGATCCCTTGCTCACTTCCTCCAGGCCTGAGTGGAGCTATCAAAAATGTGCATTCCTGCTGGCTGCTCATTCGACACCAGCAGGGACTGGCCCATCAGTCCTGCGCTGTTTTGCTTTCACTTCTCCAAACGACCACCTCACACGCTCCCCCACCTCCTCAGCCTCTTGAGCCCCCACACGTCCCACCGCCTTCAGCTTTCCATGCTGCACTGAGAAGACAGAAGCTGTCAGGAGGATGTCTCATTTTCTCACTCCTCAATCTACCTATTCCCATGGCAGCTCAAACCCTCAGGTGTCCCACAAAATCTCAGCAGCCACCTCTAGTTGTGTTTGGGATGCTGTCCACTATCTCGCTCCAGGGCTGGCCTCCACGCTTACTTCCGGCCTCCTCTCTTTTGACTTCTCTCTGCTGGTCCTCCTCAGCTCTTCCCTGCTCTGAGCCTCTTCTATTTCCTCACAGCCCTGCGCCCCAGGCCACACTAGTTATGACTGTGTTCTGCACCCTGGTTCCCTGCAAAACCTGTGGGAAGATGTTTGTTGTACTCCCTTTCTTCCATTCCCTACCCAGTGCCTTCTGGGTGGTTTGGGTTGGCACTGTCCCACAAGGACTGCTCCTGTCCTGAATCCCAGTGTTCTCTGGGCTATAAGCAAAAGATCTTCTGGCTGACCTCTCACAACAATCTTTTTTCTTCTCTTGTGGCTTCCATAACAACACCCTTGAAACATTCAAACATTATACTTTGCTGAAGTACTAAAAATTAAGTGATATGGTAATTACCCTGTTTATTAAAAAAAAGAAAAAGAAACAAACATAGGTCCCAAAGTCAGAGAATTAGAAATTGGTAAAATCAGGGCTGGTGAGGTGGTTCATTGGGTAGAGCTCTTGCTGTGCAAGCCTGATGACCCAAGTTCGATTCTCAGAACATACACAAAAGTGGAAGGAGAGAACTGACCCCACAAAGGTAGCCTCTGGCCTCTGTCATGAGCACAGTTCTTGTGCACACACACAATGTCAATAACTTTTTAAAAATGATTATCTGCTTATCAAAAGAGTCAACAGAGAAGAAGTGACAAAGTCGTCGAGTGGGAAATTGGCCATCTATTCTCAAACTTCTCTCCAGATGCAGCCTACGCTGGCTCCACTTCTCTGAGAGTGCCAACACTTCCGGTCACTTTAAGTTCTGGTTATAAAATTATAAAACAAGCAGGATTCCCACCTCAGCCTCTGCGGCGCTGGATCTGCAAAGCTCAGAGCCCTGGTCTCCCGCTGTTGACTGTCAAGTTCACCCTATGCTTCCACCTCTACTCACACAGGGGGATGGGACATGGGGACATGGGGGCACAGGGACATAGGCAGGAGAGGGCTGCTGAGCACATCATTTGAATGAGCACTGGCTGGGGCTGGCCTCCCTTTTTCTTTCCCTTTCCTTGTATCAAACCTAGAAAGCGACAATGGGCTTGGGCTCTTGGTGAAATAAAGAGGGAGAGGCTGTCATCAGTTTGCTCATTCTGTGAATCAGCACATGATGAGGAGATATGACAGGGGCCAATAAAATGAGGGAGAGCTAACCTCAGGGTGGCTGAGCAGGTAGTTCACTGCTTCTTCAAAGTACTCCATGCGCATGGTGTCCATGCCCTTGGGGAGGTCATCGTAGTTATAATAAGCCAGAGCCATGACAGCAAAGCCCTTCCCAGCCAGCAGACTAGCTCGGTACTCCAGAAGGCCACCTCCAACTCCAAAAAGGTCCAGGATCCCAGGATAGGGCCCAGGTTCTGGGGAAGAAACAGAACTAAACATTACTAAGAAGTGTTTGCAGTGGCAGGAATGGGCGTTTGTTGTTTACTCTGGGATGAGACTGTTTTCTACTGACCATGGGAAGGCTGAAGGAACTCCTGTCTCCAAGCATCAGAATGGCCTCAGATAATTCCACAGTTTCTTCTCCACCTGCATTCCCCTCTATATCTAAGACTCAAATCCCCAGGCTTTTACAAGGAGCATATGTTACTTTTAACATTAAAAATACACTAAGGGCTAGGGGTAGAGTGCTATCTAGCATGGATGGCATACTAAATTTGATTTCAAACACACACACACACACACACACACACACGCCACTATCCTCTCTGATTAGAAATTGATTGTGCCAACTTCCAGTGAGGCTATGCAGCAGCCACCATCACACGATGCTGGTGTAATGCAAAATCGTGTACCTGTAGAATGCAGTGGGGTGGTGGCACACACCTTTGATCCCAGCACTCTGGAGGCAGAAGCAAGAGGATCTCTGTGAGTTCAAGGCCAGCCTGAACTATACAGAGCAAGTTCCAGGACAGCCAAGGCTACTCAGAGAAACCCTATCTTAAAAAAAAAAAAAAAAATCAAACCTATTTTTACCACATGACCTTAGTCATCCCACACCTATTTACCCAAGTGAAATTTTTGGTTCTCACACAAACTTCTACACAAGCATTTGAAACAACTTCATTCATAATCTCCACAGACTGCCAGTGAACCTAAAGTCCTTCAACTGGCAGATGAATCAAACAGAGGCCCTGTGGGTAGAAGACCCCATGAATCTCAAACACATTCTGCTAAGTGATGAGACCCCCGAAAGGCTGCATTTTCATTCTGCACTATTTCGTGTCCTTGAAGTTTTTACCATTTGTATGAGGAGGCTTGTCTGTCTCCCACTTGTCCAACTTAAAGAATAACCCAGTGAGCAGCTGGCAGGCACCTGCTCAGGAACAGACTAGAACTGAGCAGGCAGAAGCCCTTCCGGCTTTCTTCTTCACCACTACCATGGATTTGTGTGCACTTCTCCATATTCTGAAAGTGGCATCTGAATACTTCGTTGATTTTGCCTACTTTGCCAATTTTGTTTGTTTGTTTGTTTTGAGACCAACTGTCAAAGATCCCAGCATCACCCAGTATTGCTATGTTGCCAAAATGACCTAGAACTTCTGGATATCCTGCCTTGACTTATAAGTGCTGGGAGTACAGCCCTGTGTCACCATGCCCAGTTTATGATGTGCTGGGAATGAAACCCAGAGCTACTCGACTGAGCCAAACCCTCAGCCCAGCCTTGTGAAATTTATCTCAATGGCATACTAAATGGTCTCTCCTGGAGTTGATTGCTTCACCCAATACTGCTTTGGAGTCCCGCTGAATCTCCCACCTGATTTACTGGAACCTCCACATACAGCTAAAACCAAGAAAAAAAATATTGAAAAATTGGGCGCAGTAGAAGAGTGCTTGCCTAGTTTGAGTCCTCACACCACCACAAGGAAAAACAGAAGAAATTTTAAAAGAAAACTGAGGGTAGGTGGGTGGATGTAACACTACAAACTTTATTATTAGGAGTATCTCTCCTTATGATGCCCTTTATCTTAGCAGTGGAATTGAAGGACCAGCTTCAGGGAAACTGCATCATCATAACAGGCACCTTCCAGTCCAGTCCAGTCTCCTTCCCTCTGATACTGCTCCTGAGCTGACCTTCAGTTCAGGGCTCGCCCAGACATGACCCCAAGTCAGAAAGACTTTTCCAGGGGCCACTGACCTCCAAGGGCCCCGTGAAGAGTGCGGGAGACAGGAAAGAAGGGGCCCAGGCCCTGCATCCCTGAAGCATCCCGGGCTGCAAGCCCAGGAGGGAGGGCTGCTCACCTGGAGGCAGGAAGAGCGTGGCGCGCACACGGCCCTCGCGCACGGGCACGCGCCGCACCCCGGGAGCCATGAAGTGACGCTCGTGCACCGCGCGCGCCAGCAGCCGCCCGCCGTCGGGCTCGTGGCCGTCCAGCACCTCCAGCTCCACCACGAAGGGCGTCTGCACGTCGCGCTTGATCAGGCGCCAGAATGGCCGTTCGGGCTCCAGAGCCCAGAGCAGCCCCATGGGCTCGATCCCGGCGAAGCTGCCGCCCAGCGCGGGCGCGCGCGCCAGGTCCAGGCCGCCGTGGTCGTCGGCGCGGTAGCGCGCGTGGGCGCGGAAGAGCGCGCCTTTCTCGTCTCGCAGGGCCGCGCGCAGCGTGACGGGCTGCTCGGGGGCCAGGCCGTGCACGGAGATACCCAGCGGCTCGTCCCAACAGCTGCGGCCCGCGGGCTCCAGGCTCAGCGTCGCATTTGTCCGCGCAGGGGCCCAAGTGGTCCATCCTCCCCGACCGAAGGGCAGAGACCCTGACAACCGCGCCCGGCTCTTCCAGCCCCATTGGCACAACCTGCTTGTTCGCAGGACAGCGAGAGGCGAGGCCACCATTTTGCTTCTTCACTTCAGCCCTCGGCTCCTTGGGGGTGGTGAGTCAGAGATCCTCTAGCGGCGGGGGGGCGGCCTGCAGTCTAAGCTTGCAGTGGGATGAGCTGTGGGCTCGCGGAGTAGGAGAGCTCAGAGCCTGCAAAGCAACAAAAGCAAAAGTAGTGACAGACTTTGACTAAGGCGCCTGTGTGTAAGACTCCGATATATCCAAACACCCTTCCTAGTACTGTTTTGCAGGTGCTCTTTGCCCCATGAAGAGTAGGCTGGACTAAGGCTCGTTCTTAAAAGTCCTCTCTCCCAACGAGACCTCCAGTCGCCAAATTCCTAAGGTTGCAGACTCAAAAATGTAAGATTGCAACTGAGTTTCATCATGCTGTGGAGTAGTGGACCTTTGTTACTAATCTTGGGACTGTTCTTTCAAAAATGTGCACTGCGATGTTTTGTGCTGTCTGCACGTGCTTAGCCTACATGTAAGTCCCATGTCCGGTGGATTTCATGTCTCATATCTCATGACCCTTTACCTGGATTCCATACACGAGTAAAAATAGCCGAATTATGTCATAGTTGATCCAATACACTGTGCTCTCATATTGGCCCTCTAGGCAAACATTTTCTACCCATCGTGGACTTTACACATTTCCCAACTGTTTCATAAGCTATCATTTTCAACCAAAGATGAACTTTTTTTTCTTCCAAGGCCTTGAACCTGAACAACAAGGATAATTGCACATCTTTGTTATTACAGAAACCGGAAACTGTATAAGCTGTACTTGTGTCTGTTCCCAAGAATACTATGTTAGTTTTTGTCCCAAACTAGAAACACTTGGAACAGGGAACCTCGGGTGAAGAACTGCCTCCATCATTTTGGCCTATGTGACACTGACGATTGATGTGGGAGGGCCCAGCCCACTGGGGTCTGTTCTACCTTGGGCAGATTGTCCTGGGTTTTATAAGAAAGCTGGCTGGGGGCTGGAGAGATGGCACAGAGGTTAAGCGCACTGGCTGCTCTTCCAGAGGTCCTGAGTTCAATTCCCAGCAACCACATGGTGGCTCACAGCCATCTGTAATAAGATCTGTTACCCTCTTCTAGTGTGCAGGCAAATATGCAGACAGAACACTGTATATGGAATAAAAATAAGTAAATAAATTAAAAAAAAAAGAAAGCTGGCCGTTAGTGGAGCGTTAGCTCAGTGATCAAGAGCACCGGCTGTTCTTCTAAAGAATCTGGGTTCAATTCCCACACCCACAGCTCCAGAGGATCTGAGATATACATGTAAGCAAAACACCCAGACACATAATGAAATAAAATAAAGGAAGTTGGCTGAACCAATGAGCAGAAGGAAAGCAAGTCAGTGTTCCCTAGTGGTTCTTGCTTCCAGGTTCCTGTTTGAGTTCCTGCCCTGACTTCCATTAGTGACGGACTGTAATCCGGAAGTGAACACCAAATAAACCCTTTCTTCTGATTGGTTGATATTTGGGAACAATCAGGAAAATTTCTCAAAGTCATATTTTGGCATGAAATACCTGTGTACCAGGTATTCTCATTGGTCAATGCTGAGAGGGAACATTCAGTGGTTTCTATGACTTTGTCCTGTTACTTGCTTGTTGTACATAGATACCAATAGTTTTTAGAAGTATATCCTGGAGACTTTAGGGGAGGTTTTGGTCTCCCCTGAAGTTTCTTTTGTGTCCAAACATATCCCAGGAACCAAGTACCCAGGAGGCTGGGGGGGGGGGAATTCTTTGTGTTCAGTTTTGGCCCTAGGCTCTGGGAAACCTAGAAGATCTGGAATTTCCTTGTGTTCCTATGTGTCTTTTCTATAGCCTGTCAAAGCTTCTAAAGCAAGGGCTGAGTGAGGGTCTGGTCCCTTCATTCCTAGAAGTGAAGCCTTTTAGTTTAGTTTACCCCTTTCACTTGAAGATACCCCAACCCAGCCCACTGCTTCTGTGAATGGATTCTGAAGACCCGTTGCCTAGTGACCAGTATATGAAGCTAAGCAGCATTGGAAACTAAGGAACCAAGGAAGGCTTACGACTCATAACCTTGCTTCACTTTAAGACTGAACTGGGGGACACTATGCCATTTGGAAGGTAATGTCAAACGACTGTAGCTTTAGCAGGATCTGAAGTCTTCACCGGCATCAGCTGCATGGGGAGAAGGCAAACTGAGGTCTCTGAGAAGACTGGAGCTGTCTAAAAGGCACAGCATCCAAACAGCTACCAGACGGTAGCTAGAGTTTGGACTCTAAGGGGAAGGCACAAGAGCAGACTGTTTTTGTTGTTGTTATTGCTTTGGAGTTTTTTTGGGGTGATGGGGATTTTGTTTGTTTGTTTTTGATGTTTTGTTTGGTTTTAGTTTTTTGAGACAGGGTTTCTCTGTGTAGCCCTGCCTGTCCGAGAACTCTCTTTGTAGACCAAGCTGGCCTCGAACTCACAGAGATCTTCCTGCGTCTGCCTCCCAAGTGCTGGGATTAAAGGCCTTCAATACCAACACCCAGCTGAGCAGACTGTCCTTATGGTATTATTAATGAAACAGATAGCTCTCATCTCAAAGGAATAAAAGAGGTAGTTTATTCTGAAGTCAAATATTAATGAACATAGCCTGGGAACTTAGGTTCCTCCAAATACCATGTTCCAATAAGGTGACAATTTTGTGATGGTTTTGTGGAAAAAAGGTCACAAATCCAGACACTTTTCAAATATATTGGTGTAAACATAGGATAGGTGGGTCATAGCAATGTTATCTGATGACACAGCCATTAGACTAGTGAAAGCTAGTAATCCGCTAAATGAATACATTTCACAAGGTTTCTCCCAGTAGCCACAGGATGTGAGCTTAGACATAAAGGAGGAAAGGAATGGCTATTTAGGGAGCTAAAGATAGCTCCAGGGAAATTGTAATTAGGCTCTGGACCTGCAACACCCCAAACTCTCCACAATCTTTGAAGTTCTGATCAGTTAAATCTCCTTGTAGGAGGCTGGGTAGCTATGTGAATCCTGGTGAGGGATGGAAGTCAGAGGTTCAGAAGGGAGGAAATTTTCAAGAGAAGTCAGAGAGGCAGTTTGGAAGAAGCCAGGTTAAGAGCCTGGGGTTCCTTGATTCTGCTCTCCCCACTAACCAGGATTCCCTTATAATTGAAGCAAGATGGAAAACAGGAAACATTCAGCACAAGAACAGAGAAGCCCTCAGTCTGTAGTTGAAGCCTCTCACTGAATGAGAAGCAAGAATTCCAACACAATAACTGCTTAAGGCCTTTCTCCCTTCCCACTGGACACTACATTTTCCTCCAAATCTCACCAGAAACCCCTCTTAACTGGGAAAGAGCATGCCATAACAGAAAGTGGCCATAACCCCATGTTATAACCCCCTGTTATAACAGAGAGTGACCAGTCAGAGTGGATGGTTTGTTTGGGAAAGGAAGCTGTGGTGGTTTGAATGACAATAACCCCATAGGCTCAAGTGTTTGAATTCTTTGTCCCCAGTTGAAAATCCCTTACTTTCATAGGTTTTCAGGGGGTGGAAGGAAGTTCCATACCATATAATTTAGTCTGGCTAGCCTACATGCCAAGGGGCAGGCATTCAGTGGGACCATCTTGAAGCTGTGTGTGTGGGAAGAGCTGAAGGTCACAGTACAGCTTGGCTTATCAAGTCTCTGTACAATACAGAAAAGAAGGAAAGGGTGGAGACAGAAAGACAGACAGACAAAGTGCATGATAAGTGTGCAGACTGGAGCTTTAGAAATAGAACTATTATGTATCTCCTTCCTTCTCAGTCAGCCATCATGTCAGATAATAGCTATTCTTTGAGAATACATGGCAATATGGTATTCTTTGTGACTACACTGTTACCGAATTCCTTATGATACAGGTTTAAGGGTGTGTCTGGGAACATCCTCAGTTAGTCCACTTGGGTGGGAGGGAAACCCATCCTCATCCATTGTTAAAGCTGGTGAGACAGTTCAGTGGGTAAAGGTGCTGGCCTCCAAGATTGATGACCTCGGGTCCCACATTACCCAACTTAACCTCCACAAGTATACCTGGGCATATGTATCCCCCCCCAATAAATTATATAACTATAATAAAAAAATAAAATGCCCAGGGCCAAAATACTTCCTGACATAGGAGCAAAATCCACACTAATGTGTAAGAATGTGAAGAACACACATATCAGTCTCACCCAACAGTTAATTTTCAACCAGCCAGAGCAGCACTCTTTCAGGAGAAATAGCTCCTTGTGACCAGCCTTTATCTTTGCCTTAATGTTTCTGGTTCAACTATTTAAATATCAAATGCCCTTGTGGCCATGTTGGCCTTGTGGCTGCAAAAAAAAAAAAAAGAAACAAACTAATGTTTTCATGAAAATAAAATCCCAGAGGGATATAAAAACAATCCCGTGTGATTTAATTTGATGGACGTTGCCCATTCTGACCCATAAGCAAACATTTTGGATAAAAAGGCCCTGACAAATAACCCTCACAGGGTCAAGTCTCATTGCTAGAAGACAGCCCTGGGGACAGAAAGTATGTTGTGGTGTGCAAAGGCAGAGTCACCTGATCCGATGGCTCCCTGGGACAACTCAGGAGCGACAGGTGAAAGTCAAAGAAGTGCTTGCCTCTGGGAGTGGCAGGGGCTGCTGCTGCTGCTGCTGGGAGTGGCGCTTGGCCCATGGCCAGGGTGGCATAAGGGCTACTTGATTTATAACATCAAGTATGACAAAGTAGCCTGGTCAAGAAAGAGGTTGGGGCAGGTTGGAATTGAGCTGAACCTAAAAGAGTAGGTCAGGTTATGTCAAGTATAGATGACATGCCATTTCATGTAGAGGACATAAGAGGAAGCTGGAGGGAAGGAGAGAGGGAGGGACCCTCGAGTACAGCTTGGGGATCTAGCCAGCTTAAGCAGGACAAAAAGGCATCCCCCACCCCTAGCTCTCTGAAGGGTGGGGTCTAGCCTGGAACTCCTAAACTCACTCTGCTGCTCCACCCATGTTTCCTCCTAGTAGCGGGGACAACAGCATGTGTGCACAGGTGTGCCCAGCTCCTTACAAGTGGTTTAAACAGAGAATTGGAAATGTTTGAATAAAAAAGAATTGGAAATGTGGGGTACTGTTGAAAAGCCATGGTCGATCATAAGGTTACAAAGTCCAGGACTTTGTAGACAAATGTGAGAATCTGAAGGAAAATTATAATTAAGAAATATTTAGAAGGACTGGAGAGATGGATGGCTCAGCGTTTAAGAGCACTGTCAGCTCTTCCAGAGATCCTGACCTCAAGTCCCAGCCATCTGTAATGAGATCTGGTGCCCTCTCCTGGCCTGCAGGCAGACATGCAGGCAGAATACTATATACTAAAAAAATAAATAAAATCTTAAGGGGAAAAAAAAAAAAGCTATTTAGAATGTTGCACCGTTTTTCTTTTCTGTTCTCTAAACTCCCAGGACTTCCTTACTCCACTATGGGCTTCCGATTCCTCCTAGAGTGGAGTATTCAATGTCTCTTTCTTGGTTGCCTGCAGGCCCTGCTTGTGAACCAGCAGTGTGGATAGGAAAATTTGAAGCGAAACATGACCAAGCACAAAAAGAAAAAGTTTTCCCCCGTTCGGTGTCCTGAGCCACAGCCCCCTCGGCTGAGATGGGGTCTGATCTTCCTCTACTCAAAACCCACGGACAAGATGGGGTACACCTCGGTCTCCAGAGTGCCACCGGCCTTCTCCTTCAGCCCACAGCACTGCGAACATCTTAGGCACCAGTATTTGAAAAAGGCGGCTGCCGACTTTTCCTTTTCTCAGGAAGTGAAGTGGCAGCGGGGACTGCCCTGCATGCCTTTCTGTCAGTACAATTTTGAGCACCTCTACAACACGGATGACATCATCCCACCTGTGCAGGCCAGGAAGACTCACGCTGAGAAACCTGCCTACACCAGGATTCTGGATATCTCAGGGCTCCTGACAGCGGACACCACCCATTTTGCAAAGACACAAAGCTCTGTGGGTTGTAAAAAGAAGCTGAAAAAACCAAAGCCCGGAGGCTCAGACCAGAAAGAATCTTCCCCACGCCCCCGCTATTCCCGACGCTCCCGCTTGAAGTCAGAAGATATACTGGACCTGTCGTCCTCTCAAGATGAGTGTCTGGAGGATAGGGAAACCTGGCTTCCACCTGGCGAGAAGGAGGCCCGAGGCTGGGAAGCCATCGTGCTGGAGAAGCTGGACAAGCGCACAGCGCGGTGGATCCAGAACAAGCGTCCGCAGAGGCTTGGGCATTCGCCCAACAAGTGGCAGGGCTTCCTGCGCCATCAGTACGACTGGAGCCATATTCGGGATGAGCTCACTTCAGAGAGTGATCAGGACCTCCTCAAAAAGCTGGAGGCAGAAGAAAGAGCAGAACTTGAGGGTGGTGAAAGTGTCACCCTGCCCCCCGAGGAAATAAAGAAGCCAGAGCTGCTGCTTCCGGTTTTCTACGGGTAGGCTGACCTATGAAGTCCATGGCTCCTCTTCAGGAACTCCCCATAGGCTCCTTATTTGAAGTCAATCGTGTTTTCCCAGGTGTTGGCAATCAAACCCACCCCTCGCATTTGTTGGGCAAGCACACTACCCCTGGCTATACCCCAGCCCACACTCTATGCTTCAGAATACACTTTCCCTTCAGCCTCTTGTTCTCCCCCAACACCCACTTTCTGAGATCTCCTGGAAATAAGGTTTCTAAGCCTCCCTATACTACTGACATTCTGGGTTGGACACCATTATATCATAATCAGCTGCCCTGTGCTGTGTAGGATGTTAGCAACGTCTCTGGTCTTCACCCACTAGAAACCAGGAACACTTCTCTGTTGTTACCAAGGATATCTCCATAGTTACAGTTCTCAGCTCCCACTAAGGATGCCTCAGATATCGATGAAGGAGAAGCTCACACCCTGCTCAGAAGCAGGTCTTAAAGGGATCCAGTAACTGAGCTTCCAGACTAATGACCCAGCTCAGTAGAGCTCCTAGAGGTGTATCCAGGTTGACAGTGAGAAAGGCAGAGGGCTCATGACACTGAGTTTGATCTGCTCCGCTTGAATAAGAGTCACTGACACCAAACACAAGCAGACTCAGGGCAGAGAACAAGCAATCTGCGAGATTCTCAGATTGCTTCTTTTCATTCCCAGCTAGAGAGAAGATAGGAGATATTATAATCTACCTGACATCCAAAAGGGAACTAAAAATAAGTGGAAATGTAGTTAGTTAGTTATTGAACAAGTATGAGTTGATTTTTTTTGTTGATGTTGGTATTTCAGAGTCTGTGGAGTGATGGGAATATAATATAAAATGACAGATCTGTCCACCTAATGAACAAACTGTAAATTCCCACACAGATTCCTCGAGGTAGCAGAAAAGACAGTTTTCCTTCCCCAAATCCACGCACCTTTTTTTTGTTTTGTTTTGTTTTTGGTTTTTTTTCAAGACAGAGTTTCTCTGTGGCTTTGGAGGCTGTCCTGGAACTAGCTCTTGTAGACCAGGCTGGTCTCGAACTCACAGAGATCTGCCTGCCTCTGATCTACGCACCTTCTAAGGGAACCAGTGTTAGGGATGGACTGCAGACTGGGCATGGTGGCATTCTCAGGAGACAGAGAAACAGGAAGATCACAACTTTGAGGCCAGCCATACTAAATTCTAGTCTAGCCTGAGCTATATAGCAGGGCCTTTTCTCAATTTTGCCACTATACACATAAAAAAAAAAAAAAGTTGGGCAGGAAACACAGCCGCCCTTTCAGGGTGTCTGCCTGTGACTGCAGGGGGCATGGCTTCATCAGTGGAGGGGAGCAGGGTGGCTGAAGGACAGGCTCTTCTAGAGTCTCCATATTCAAATGGCTCCAGAGAAGATGCTGGTCATTAGGCACAGGTATTCAGATGTTTCTATGAGAAGAGCTTAAGGGGGCTACGGTGAGTCATGGACCTAATGGAAAGGGGGCATCTTCCAGTATTTCCACTTTTCCCTGTTTCTCACCATGGCTGTCAAGGTTACCTGGTTACTCCCCACAAGTGCAGACAGTTGAAATTCTGCCTGGCAGCAACATGACAGCAGGGGGTATCGACCAAGAAAGAAGAAACATCCAGCCTCCACCTCAGAATCCCTTCCGGCAGGTGAACCCCAAAGCTGGAGAGTTTGCTTACTCTACAGAGAATGCCTTCGAGCAGGAGATTTACTTTGGTAATGGTGCCGGGCTCTGGGGTTGGGGTACGGACTAAGGAGGTGAGGGCATCGTGGGACCCGAACAGTCATGGGTGGAGACGAGTCTCGGGGTACATCTCCCAGTGCTAGTACAGGATTTGTAGCAGGGTTATCTAGTGGGGAGCAGACATTTCTTTTGTCTGCCTCTCTATCTCCCCATCTCACTAAGGAGGGAGTGGAGCATGTGCTTGTAACATGAGTCAGAGCTGACTTTAGGAGCACCCTAGTCTTCTGTCTATCCTTTGCTCACTTTTAGATATCCCCTCCACCCCAATTGGCCTACTATGTTTTAAAAAACAAACAGGCCTACCCATTTTAGAAGCTAAAAGGTCTAGTTCTACTCAGTTATGTTAAACTTTCTGAATGTACCCCAGTGGATGTGAACTAAATTATACCAATTATTCATAGTTTAGTCAGCTTTAAAAGAGCTGATGAGTTTTGCCCATTCATGAGTGTTGCTATTGCATTTTTGTACACGGATGCAGATTGTGTGCATTTATTCTGTATTTATGTTAACTAGCTGACTTGTACTTGAATTAAAAATCAAAAATGAAAACTCTTTTGAAAATGTGAAAAAAAAAACAGGCTTAGTAGTCAGGCAGATTTGTTTAAACACTGGTTTGATTCCCTCTTAGTAACCATCAGCAGATTCATACCCTTCACACACAACCAAACTATGATGATACTAACTTATAAATCAATGTTAACAAGAACACACTTTCTGTGCAGTAGACAAGAAAGCATCCACAGAGCTGCCGAATGCTTAGCACATGGAGGGTCTTCATGACTGTCTGCTACTACCCTTCTGCTTTGCTAGCCTTTCGATGCCCGACCTTGCAGAAGATGACCTAGGATTGCATGTTCCAAGCTGTTTCTTCTTCACCCGTTCCATCTTGCTCCTAAATTACTGTTGGCTGGGTCTCCTTAATGATCTTAACAAAATTATGCCAAGGGGTTCATAGCTGGTGGGGTTAATTAAATGCCCCTTCTTTAGTGTCTAGCACTGCTTAGAAATTAGTTTCTGTTTTACCAATGGAAAACGCTATCTTTGGCTCGCCTAGGACTTTATAAGGCTTCCCTAAGAGGCTACTGGCTGTGGCATTTTCTAAGCAACAACCGTTCTTTGACAATGTCCCAAGGGCTTATATTAGGGAAAGGGAAGGGGCTGGTCATCCATTGTATCTCTCTTCACAGATGGAGTGAAGATTGTTCACCAGATCCATGGGAAGAATGATCAAATTGTCTTGGAAAACTTCAATAGGTACAACAAGCACCTATCTAAGATCTTCCCTGTAAGCCCGGAAAAGTGGAGCTCCCAGCCTGTTCCCGAAAAGCGTAAGGAGTATGATCAGAAAGCCATCGATGGGGCAGTATGCAACTGAGGCTCTTTCTTCCAAGTCAGGGACACCACCAGCAACAAGGGCACTTCCTTCCTAACACCTAAAAATGATCTCGAAACATTGTAAACATTGAAAGATGGTGGAACTTTCATCCAGTTGGAATCTGACATTACTTGGGTGTGAATACATGGTTTACAGTAATTACTCTCAGTGCTTCCATAGGAAGCTCGTCAGACCCCTCCTCCACCTCTGTGTCCCTGGGCTGGCTCCATCCTGTCCACTTTATACTCAACTCATCCTTGCCTCAGGGCCAAGGGTCTTTCTTTGTTTTTTTTTTTTTTTGTTTTTTTTTTTCATTTTTCTTGGTATGTTTGTGTGTGGTGGTGTGTGTACATGTATGTGTCAGTACCCAAGAGTAGGCACATGTGTGGAAGCCTGAAGCTAATGTTGGAAGTCTTCCTCAGTTCCTCTCCATCTTATCCACTGAGCCAGGGGCTCTAGGTTGACCCGAGATATCACTGATGGAGTTAGTCTGCCTAGCCTGGTTGTTTTGGGGGATATGGATTCCAGGCAGTCTGCCATACCTGCCCACCTTTTAGTTGGGTGCTGGAGATTCAAACCCCATCCTCATATTTGCATAGCAAGTGCTTTCTTTACTCACTGAGCTATTTCCAGAGCTCTTCTGTTTTTTGTTTGTTTGTTTGTTTTTTGTTTTTTTTAATGTATAACAGTCATCATTTTGTAAGACAAAGGTGACCAAGAAATGAACTTCTAAAACAAAATGCACCCATCTTCTAGGAGACTGTCTCTCTAATCCCTATGAGTCTTTGTACTATCACTGTTCAGGTGAGCTCTCTGGGGTTGAGCATGTAGCTAGATACATTGGTCCCTGTTCTATGTTATGGACAGACACCATGACCAAGACTACTTTTTTTTTTTTTTTTTTTTTCTGAGAAAGGGTGT